CACACGGCGACAGTCCGAGAGAAAGAGGCCCAGGAGTGAATGAATGAACTCGGACACAGCGCAACGATATTGCACAGGCACTGCCATCATTACACGTTGCTTGGCGCCTCGGCGGGTGCCGTGGTGGCGGTGTTCCACATGGGCACCGCCCGCTGCTGCTGCCGCGCCATCCGCTTCGCCTTTGCCTCGTCTGAAACGCGCTGCTCGAGTTTTTCCAGCCGCTCCAGCGTGAAGGATTTGATCGGCAGGAGCTTTGGCGGGCACAGGAGCTCTGTTGGCTCCTCTGCCTCATGGAAGACAAAGCCACTCGCCGGGAGGATCTCCACCGGCATATCTCCCGCCGCCGACTGCATGGAAAACGATTCCTACACCGCTCTACACGCAATAAGAAGAACAAGGAGAGAGGGTGCGCCACATCGAGCAGGCGAAAGGCAGCAGCCACGCAAGACAACAGACACAGACGCACGCAAACAAAGAAGTCTCTTTAAATACGCGCCCACGCACACATCTGGTCGTACCCCACGCTCTGCTGGTGTAAAGGCGTGCAGCTGGGCGGCTACGCTGGTCGGTGCACGCGACACATAAGTGTGTGTGTGTGTGTGTGTGTGTGTCTGGAAAATGACGAAGAGCAGGAGCAAGAGAGAAGTAAGGGGAGCGAGGGAGTGAATGGTTGCAGCAGCCACCACGAACGGCATCCACACCTCATCTCAGCCCTCACCTCTTGTCCCGTGCCTCAAACTCATTATCATCCTTGGGGAATATCGGTTACTTATCGGTTCCTTCATTTTCCTTTCGCCCATCCTCCATCTCTTTCCTTCATTCTTTCTTCTTGTGGCTTTAACATTCGCCCAGCACTCCCCCCATCGCACACAAGCATGCACACACCGAGGCGCCCGAACCCTCCACAGATAAAAAAAAAGTGTTTTCTCTTCATGGGTCTACTGGGTCAGGGTGCGTGCATCTCCCCCCGTGTTGTTTTCTTTTCCTGTTAAAGAGATTTCGTCCTTTTATATAAATATGAAATGAATAGTATTCCGCGATTTCCTTTCTCTTTTCAGATTTTTTTCTCTTTTAGATTCATGTCTTAGAAGAGCGACATCTCGTCCTCGACCTCTGCGGCCTCCTCCTCGACCTGCACGGCGGGCCGCGGGCCGTTGCTCTCGAGCGCCTCGCCGGCGAGCACGTGCTGCAGCTGCGCCTCGAAGTTGGACTGCGAAATGGTGTACGTCTGCAGGAACTGCTGGCGCCACGCGATCGTGCCGTCGACGCGCACGATGAACGCCATCGGGCACGACATGACGGAAAGGTTCGCCACCTCCGCGTACGCCTTGCCGGTCGCCTTCTTGTCGTCGAAGAGGATGTGCGGCGGGGCGAGGCGCAGCGGCTTCTTCGTGTTCTCGTCGACAATATTCTTGTTGAGGTACTTCTCCGTCTTCTCCTTGTCGGCGTCGTTGCTGATGGCGACGAAGACTACCTTGTCACCGTACTTCTCCGACAGCACTGTCAGCTCCTCGTTGACAGGGTCGGCGCCACGGTAGAAGGTATTGAAGAAGTACAACACGTACACCTTGCCGCTTTGCAGCTCCACCTTCTCGCCGCGGATGGGGTCGAGGTTGGCGAGCGTCGGCGCCGCCTGGCCGAAGCACTTGTCGTCGCTGTACGTCGTCACGTCAATCGTGTCCGTCATATCTCACTGCTTGGGTGATATGTGTGGTGGGCATGCGGAGTGGAAGTACGAGTGTTGGCACAGACAGACAACGAGAGAGAGAGAGAGAGAGGGAATAGATAATACAACGGCTGTGTATGCACATCCGTGAAGCAAAAGGAGAGAGATCGTGAGGGAATTGTCACATATGCATATGCCCACACATGACATCAAGCCGTGTGTGTGAGAGAGAGGGGGAGGGAGGGGGCAACAGCACCGTCTGTTTGCCGCCCCGTGAAACCAATGGGTAACGCCGAAAAAACAAACACGAAACACAGAAAACCAAAACAAAATGAAGACAAAAAAAAGTGATTTAACAGATTTGCATCTATCTCTCTGAAATGATTTAGCAGTGTGATCATCTTTTCTCCTCTCTCTGGGTGTATGAGGTGCATATATATATATATATATATATAAATGAATGAATGATGTGTATGTGTGCTGAACTCCTGCATCTGATAGGAGGCCATGGGGGGACGGCAGCCAGCACCATCCAAGCAGCAGCAACAACAGTGCGTGCTCTCACCCCGGCGTACGGCCCACCGACGTTTCCGCCGCAGCTGCTGCCGCTGCTGTTGCTTCAAGCCGCCTGAAAAGTGCCGCGCTGCGGGCAAACTGCTGGTCAAACACTGCGCCAGACGAGACAGCATGCACAACGCCACAGCACAACTCCATCACACCACCTGCTCTCTTCTTTCGCGTAGCGGGGCGGCCCTCGCAGCGCTGCAGCAACTCGCGCAGTCGTCCATTGGAACCTCGGGCAGCGCCGCTGTCCAGCTGCGCAACAACGGCGGCGGGGACCTCAACCCGACCACCGGTGGTATCGCGCAGCCACAGTAGCAGCATTGCAGCGGCGCATGTCGTGTCCTCCCGTAGCGCACTGTTCTTCTGCGCGAGGAGGGACACCTCCAGCAGCGACAGCGCGGCCGTAAGGACGCCAGCAGCAACTTGCCCGGCTGCACTGTTGAGGTCATCAGGGTCGTCATCGCACGCGTTGGACGCAGCGCCGCGGCCGCATCCCCCCCGCGGTAGCTCGCAGACCAGCGCCAGCAGAAGCTTGCTCAGCCGCGGCGACTCCTGCAGTAGCGCCGGCCCCGCCGCCCGCCCCGACA